GCGCAGGCGTCCGGGTATCGGGCGCGGCAGATCTCTTGAAGGTCCTGAAACTGGAGGAGGAGGTGCCGGATGGAGCGTCCGGGAACAAACCCCTTCTGATCTTCGTGTATGATTGCAGGTAGAACCTCCCCAAGTCGTTGAGCCAGAATCTTTGGCGCCAGCTTCGCGTCGTGGTTCAGGAGCGTAAGGGGCCGATAGTTCTCCGGTAAGGACCTGTCACCAGCCTTGTACAGCAGCGACAGATGAGCGCGCCGTTGAAACTTGGTCATCTGGCCCTTGGCTAACTGGAAGCCGTGTATGACCACGTAGATGCTCGCCCACAAGTCGGGAGCCACCTGGTAGTATTCAATCGGCAGTCCGTCCGGTCCCGGGGCTTTCTCGTTCTTCGACTTCGTGATGGCCAGGTAGAAATCGTGCGCCGTCAGCGGCGCGTCCAGCATTGCTTGTTGGGCAGACGTAAGTTTGGCCACCGTGTCCTTAAGCAGCTTGGCGAGCCGTAATGGTTGGTACGTAGCTGATCGAGAAGACTTGAGATCCGGAGAGGTCGACTGGAAGAGCTTCCCCCAATAGCGGCGATGACCTTCCGCGATCTTGGCCGGGTCTTCCGTCACGGTCCCGTCGTCTTGTTGCAGCTCGGTAATAGGCGATCGAAGATAGTCCTTCTGCGGTGCCCGGAAAAAGTACTTCGTGGCGCGTTCGCTCTGGTGTAAGTCCGCTGCGAATTTCTTGAACTCATTGCGTTCCTTGATTGAAGCTCGGTACGCTTTGAGATCTTCTTTTGCTTGGTCTAACGCTGTCTTGTTTCCCTCCGTAGGCGCGACGTTGAAGAGGTCAGTAGCGTCGTTTGCCGCTTCCACCTTCGCAGCCATTGCTCTCGCGTCAGCATTCCGAAGCTCGAACCATTTCCGTCGCAGGTAGATACAGTCGACACGCTTGTGCTCATCCAGAAGGCAGCCAGGGTTCGCACCCGGGAAGATCTTGATGCGGTCGGCGAGAGCTTCTGCCGATGCAATCAGATGTTTCTGGACGTCGGAGTTGCGAAGAAGCCAAGTCGGGCAACGCCAGGGGGCGCGTTTCATCTGAGGTAAGAACTTGGCCTGAAGCCTGAATTCCACCGGGATGTGATCTTCATGATGCCACTTGCGGTCCCGTACGTGATGAACGGTTGCCAGATGGTCCTGTAGCAGGTCCACCGTGAGGAAGCAGTAGTCGATCCGATTTGTTCGCGTCGGCCCGGTGAAGTCACGGACGTCCGGGTTCACGTAGCGCCAGGCATCCATCAGCCCTAGCGCGTCCATCCAATCACAAAGTTCCGCCCGGCCGGGGCGATGCTGGTTAAGGGACGGTGAAGCTTGGTCCAGGTTGTCATTGAGCGTGACATTAAAGTCGCCCAGTACGATGTGCGTCACGCCGCTGTCGCCATCTCCGTCGTCAACAGAGCCGCCGTCGTCGTCGAAGTCAACAGGTAACGCACGAAAGAATTCGCCACGTGCTCGGGGATCATCAGGTGCGTACACCACATGTATGTAGACCCGCTTGTCACCGAGGGTGGTTTTGAGTAGTAAATAACGGTTGCAGAGCTGAGGTTTGGATACGCGAGCCGTGAGGTCCTCTACATCCCCGAAAGGGGACGCGGAGGACATCACAAGGCCCACACCACGTATTTCGTTGAACACGCCGGACGTAGTGTGGGACCAGAAGCTGCGCGCCCCAGAGTCAGCCGTGCGGATGTGATGGTCGTTGGTCTGCATGGAGTCTTCTTGGTTGAACTTCGTCTCTTGGAACGCCACCAACTGATGCGTCGAGAGAAGTCGCTCGTACATGCTGAGATTGGTTGCATTCATCCCATTCATGTTAAGCGAGACTCCGTTAAAAGCCCAGACTTCCTTAGAGGCGAGGGTGGACCAAACGAGAAGGTCCGGCCTCAGCCGCCGAAGGAATGTCAACCGACTTTAGATGCTGCAACGCCGCCACCACCATCGTCGGAGTGCGTCGGTCGTCCATGAACAGTGTACAGACATCACTGCGCGCGACGTACATCAGGGTAAGGTCACTCCAGAGCAGGAATGGTGCATGCCGGAGCCGTTTTGGAGCGGAACGGTCTGGGAGCACTGCTTGAACCTTGATGGGGTCGATGTAGATACCGGGCGCGAAGACCATCAGGAACAAGTCGCATAGGGCGCTGTGAAACGCCGCATCCTGTTGAGGTTGCCCCGGGAACATACGCTCGAAGAAAGCGGCGGCATCAACAGAGTCGATAGAATCGTAGCGACCACGGAGGCGATCGAGGTACGCACCGGACTCATCTTCCTGGGTCGGCTCTGCACAGATGGTGCGGTAGACCGCGTGCGCCTTGACCAGCTGGTGTTGGCGGTCGGCCGGGAGGCAGAAGATCCGGCGGAAGTACGCGGGTTGCGCTTGGATAGCGGCGAGCACATCTTCGTGCGTCTGGTACGTAAGCACGTCGCGTTCAAGAAATTCGTCGATCGCTAGTTGAAGTTCCTCCACAGATACCCGTTCCACCTTCAGATCCATCTGGCGGACACTCTTGAGGGTGCGAGTGAATTCCTCATCCGGAAGGAGGGCAGAGTCGGCGGTAAAACCAGAAACAGGCGTCGTCATCCCGGCATCTTCAACAAGTTCGGCTTCCAAGTCTGCATCTGGCGGAAGCGACTCGTCAAAGCCTTCATCGGCCAGGACTCGGTACGTGTTGGGCGTAACGGGGATCGAATAGACCAGCGCATGGGGGTCCGAGGAGTCTTCAGAGAGCTCACACGGCATGGCGCCGGGTGGCTCGATGAACTTCCCACCTCCACGGTTCACGATACCGTATTGCGAATGTTGAACCAGCTTCCACTCGGGGTCCGACCGGGCGTTGACCGATCCTAGGATCACTCGGTGGATTTGCGACTCCGCGGCCTGAGAGCGGGGGCGGCCGGATGACGTACGAGACGGGACATCCGAAGAATCCAGCGCTGATGAGACAGCTGAAGAATCCAGTGACGACGAAGCGACAGTCGGGTAGGTCTGCGACAACGACGCACCGGAGGGATCCAGTGGTGGCGAGACACGCGAGGAATCAAGCGGTGGCGCAGCCGCCTCGTCAGAACCGCGCATACTGGCATCAGACACTGCCGAAGCCTTGCGAGGTGATTGGCGAAGCGATGGGGGTTTCACACGGTTGAGGCGGAAGAGCCGGTGCTGTACAAAGCAGGGTTTCTCCCCATCCGTGAAGTAGATCTCCCGGAGCGGTTCACCGTTGGGCTCAAAGAGCGCGTCCGGGCATTGGACAGCGTTGAAATACACCGTGCGTGCGCGGGAAATCAGCTGGCCAACGCCAAGAGACGGCGTAATCAGGATAGGACGAGCACCCCGGGCGACGAACCAGTCGTAGATCGCGAGGTCCGTAGTATCAGCCGGTAGACGCCTCAAGTCCACGTAGTACAGCTTGTCGTAGCTGGAGTAGCGTCGGATCGCAACAGATTGGCCACAGATCGTCAGCTCGACCCCTCCAAGGCGTTGAAGTACTTGGTCGGAGGTGCAGACGAAGGAGATGCCGTTGCGCGGGGAGGTGTTGAAATCCCGAAGATGGGGCTTGGCATCCCGCCACACCTGCGGTTGGCTATCCGAGTCCAGCGACGCGAGCACCTCACGTAGGGTGTGCTCGGCAGCGACGCGGCCAGCTGGGATCCACATCTGCGTGCATTGCGTCTGCTCGACAGGGGTGGGAAGGGGCGCAAGCGCTGCAAATCGGCGGTCGACGTCGGTAGAGGACGCATCACGTGATGGCCGGAGACGGTGTTGACACAATGTGATTTCTGCCCAGTGCTCTGAATGTCAAAGTGAAGAGATTCAACCAAGCGCGGGTAAACGGCGGGAGTAACTATGACTCTCTTAAGGTAGCCAAATGCCTCGTCATCTAACTAGTGACGCGCATGAATGGATTAATGAGATTCCCACTGTCCCTATCTACTGTCTAGCGAACCCACAGCCAAGGGAACGGGCTTGGAATAATCAGCGGGGAAAGAAGACCCTGTTGAGCTTGACTCTAGTCTGACGTTGTGAAATGACTTGGGAGGTGTAGAATAAGTGGGAGGCTCTGCCGTCCGTGAAATACCACTACTCTCAATGTTGTTTTACTTATACCATGATGTAGCATCTGGGTGGCCTCGCGGTCGCTCAGTTCTAGTTGTAATCTCGGGCTTTTGTCTGGGTGAGCTACGTGGAAGACATCGTCAGGTGGGGAGTTTGGCTGGGAATGTTGATTACATTGACTTAATTCCAAACCTAAAGTAGCAAATATGTAGAACGCGGGGAGAATTCTCCGCAAGAGGCTAGCGTATATAGAGGAGACCTCCTCTCTAAAAAACAGCTTCCGGCCTGCGATGCATGGTCCAGTGCGCTCTGGATGTCTGGGGGTACAAACCCCGGCTGGAAACCTGGTGGAGATGGGTCCAGGACTTCGGTCTTGGGCACTGATCCGTTGATCGTGATTGCGAGCTTGCGTAGTATATTCCAATTCCTGTCCCGGCGAGAGGGGGATGGGGGCTGGATGTAGACTTCAACCTTACGGGGGGCGCAGCGTGTTGTAGCAGTCGTTGAAGAACGTAGTCTTGACTTCGGTCCGGACGTTGTGTTCTTGAGAGATTCTTCGAGTTGCGGCCTGAGTTCCGCCCTGGGATGAGAGGGGGACACAGAATACCAACCTGGAGATGTCATGATGTCGAAGAACTTGGAAACGAGTATCAGCGTCGGGGCTTCGGCCTGGGCGTGCGAATTTAATGAGACGACGAAGCGCAGTCTGATTCCTGCCCGGGTGAGCGGGGGGAGGCAGATGTCCACACAACAAAGGTGGCTGCAGCTTCAGAGTCGCTGACGCAGTACGGTCGGACCGGGGGAGTGGTCGGCTGGAAACGTCTGTGCCTGGAACTAAGACAGTTCGTCGCACCGGGAGAGCTCCGCCATGGGTTATCGGTATTCGGTGAGCAGCCGAAAAAACGCACGTATGGCGGCGTAAAGCATCTTGGTGTACTCGAGACGTCGACGAGAACAACGTGAGATGATCAACGGCCGATTCCGGAAGTTTGCGGCGGAATGGCTGGGTTCTTGTCTGTCTGGCTTCGGCTTGGATGAACTTGGGCTTGGCTGTTCTGCTGCGGGCGATAAAGGAGTTGACTGGCGAGCTGATCACCAGTGGGATTGCGAAGCAGTCACGAAGTGTGACAAGTCATCATCTGGATGGGTCTGACCGACCTTGACACAAAGTCTTCCAGACGACTTGGGGCATGGAGTGAGCCCTCAAACGGCGCGGCAGGGAGTCGGGACCGACCTTGATAGGTCATGATGAAAATCGTCCAGACACCTTGGAGCCGCCGGGCGAGTAGAAGAAACGCTTCGCGATTCGGACCAGGTTCTCGTCGGGCAAAACGGACGAGTCTCAATCTGCAAGGGGGTTGGCATCGAGGATCTGTTGAGCCTAGGAAACTCAGCGGTGGCTTTGGTGTTGCAATTCGTGCGTGGATCGAGAGGAGTCGTCACTTACGCAGGTAGTCCTCGCGTGGGGTCCCTAAGGCCGCATGCTTGAGATGAATCGTGGGTGGAGCTTGCACATTGTGCAGTACGGTCGAACCTGCTCGTTGTAGCGGGGGGAGGCTGGCGGATTCGACTTGATCGGATCTAGGTTGGGGTGTGTCCGGGGAGACTCTCAAAGTGTGGCCGTCCTGAAAGGGAGACGGTCAGCCGCGGTTCCATTCCGCGTGAAAGCACCTTGAGTCGTCGAACTTGTCGCTTCCAATCGACTTGCGGGGGATAGCTTGGGCCGTGGAACGCCTAGGTGATGAAGCCGCATTTTACCAGACCCAGGTAGTTTGAGCCTCCCTTGGGGACGTTGACGCGTTCTCGGGGCACCCCGAGCAATCCGGGTGTCCCTTACCGGTCCGACGAGTGACCACCTTGACGTGGTGGGCCGGCTTTGCACTAAGCGTCACTCACTTGCACTGACGATGGCACGACGCCGTCAGTTGCACTCGCTGAAGTCGTGCCCGTAGAAGTAGACGTAGTAATTCGCTCCAAACCATATCCATCCGTAATAAAATCCGTTGCTCGCACCCATTTCTCCTTTCCTTTTCCAGTTGCCATTGATCGAAACTTGTGTAGATGTAGGCGGATGTAGGCCAGCGCGTGATGCTTGACAAAGGGTGCCGAAGTCGTGACAGACGGGTTGTACAGCCGCTTGTTGCGATGAAGCCAAAGTGCCCGTAGAACACAGCATCGAACAAAATTGAAGATAGCCTGAAGTGCATAGTCTCCATAAACTCGAACCGTAGAGAGTTGAAGTCGAATAGAACTCGGGAAGAGAACCAGACGCCAATCGATTGCTCCGTCAATGAGTTCTCGAAACGGCCGCAGGTAAAAGTCCCATTGATAGCGGGCCACGACACAGTCCCAAAAGAGATGCAAAGCATTCTCTGTGGTAGGGCAGTCGTGGACGCAAGTCGTAGACGTAGTAACTTGCGTGCGCCATGCGAACTTGTAGCGAAAGCCAAGAGCATTGTGCTGAAGCCGAAACTTGAGGTCCGCGCAGACTGGCAAGACATGGCGATCCCACAAGATCTCCCTGTTCCATGTGTCTTCCGCGGGCGTAAAGTCACTGAGGCCGAGTTGTTCCAACGCGAGCGTGGGGATCTTCGGGTCCGTACGCGCCTTCAATAGTAGTCGTACGAAGTGTTTGTTCTTCATTTCTATCACCGGTGTCCCGTCGAGATGCCAATCGTGAAAAGCCGCTTCCACGTGGTCCGCACGAGTTGGCCCGATGAGCGGGCCATCCAGAGGCGTAACCAAATTGAAGCGAGCCATCGTATCGTTGATCAGTCGGGTCTTCGAGTGCGGTCGGGCGAATAGATCTTCCGATAGTAGACCATGTAGCAGTTCCGCCGTAGCATAGTCACCATGGTAGTAGACGTAATCACGTAGGCGATTGAAGCCGAGAGCCTTGAGCGCACTGTTGGTCGTCGAGCTCACCTCGCTGAGAGGGGTCCTCGCCTTCCCAAACGAAAAGAAGATGTTGAACCAGAGCGGCATCGTCTGCACGTTGCGTTTCCACTCCGTTGTCCCATGGGAGATGGTAAGGTCCGACCACAACCGTAGCGTAACTCGCCAGTACTTGGTCAACGGCGCCCATTGCAAGCCGCGTAGGTTAGCGTAGAGAATGTCGAACCCGGAGCCGAGAGAGCGGAGCGCTACTGTGAATAAGTCCAGCGCCGGTGCGAACCAGCGCGGAGCATTCCCAGCCGCGTTTGTAGCTGCAATGGCGTCTCGGAGACACTTGAGATGCATCGCTTGGGTGAAGACCTTGATCGGTTTGAGACCGAGGCCGCCCTTGTTCACACTTGTGTAGATCCAATCCTGCTCGAACTTGCCCGCCGCAGCCTTATCGAGATCGGTATCCTGGCCGTGGACGAAATTGCGGACAATGATGTTCATCTTCGTAACCACCGCCGGGGTGACCGGGGTCACGGCGGCTGTGTACCAGAGTAGAGGTAGGATAATACTTTGAAGTAGAACCACTTTGCCGCGAAGCGTCCTCGCCCGATACTTCCAAATGGCACACCGAGCCCGAACCTTAGCAATCACCGCGTCGAGCCGTTGGTCATCGGTAACCGACGCGCCCTGTAGAATACCCAGTAGTTTCACCGTGTCTGTGACGCCCAACACCTTGAGGGCAGTCGACTGCCGAAGGTGAGCCAGCTTAGCCTTTGATACATGACGTGTGAAGGGCATAATGCATGTCTTCTTCACGTTGAGTCGGAGACCGGCGGCGTCTGCATACTCTTGGACAAGGCCGATAAACGTGGTCGCGTCGTTGACGTCCCGCAGTAGCCCAGTGCAATCGTCGGCAAAAGCCATCAGCAAGTGAGGCAGCGATACGTGTTCAACAGCTAACCCGCGACTGGAAAGCCGCGCCCGCAGAAAGTTCAAGAGCGGCTCCACGAACACCACGAATAAACCTGGGGAGAGTGGGTCGCCCTGCCGAACGCCGGCCCCCAGAAGGAACGGGTCGCCAGGCGAGTTGTTCAGCAACAGACTGACTGAAGTCTGATGGTAGAAAGTCTTCACCCACGCTCGAAACGTGGCGCCGATTCCGAAGTGTTGAAGGACCATGTCCAGAGCTGGCCACAGGACACTGTCGAAGGCTTTAGCGAAGTCCAGTAGAACAGCGCAGGCGTCCGGGTATCGGGCGCGGCAGATCTCTTGAAGGTCCTGAAACTGGAGGAGGAGGTGCCGGATGGAGCGTCCGGGAACAAACCCCTTCTGATCTTCGTGTATGATTGCAGGTAGAACCTCCCCAAGTCGTTGAGCCAGAATCTTTGGCGCCAGCTTCGCGTCGTGGTTCAGGAGCGTAAGGGGCCGATAGTTCTCCGGTAAGGACCTGTCACCAGCCTTGTACAGCAGCGACAGATGAGCGCGCCGTTGAAACTTGGTCATCTGGCCCTTGGCTAACTGGAAGCCGTGTATGACCACGTAGATGCTCGCCCACAAGTCGGGAGCCACCTGGTAGTATTCAATCGGCAGTCCGTCCGGTCCCGGGGCTTTCTCGTTCTTCGACTTCGTGATGGCCAGGTAGAAATCGTGCGCCGTCAGCGGCGCGTCCAGCATTGCTTGTTGGGCAGACGTAAGTTTGGCCACCGTGTCCTTAAGCAGCTTGGCGAGCCGTAATGGTTGGTACGTAGCTGATCGAGAAGACTTGAGATCCGGAGAGGTCGACTGGAAGAGCTTCCCCCAATAGCGGCGATGACCTTCCGCGATCTTGGCCGGGTCTTCCGTCACGGTCCCGTCGTCTTGTTGCAGCTCGGTAATAGGCGATCGAAGATAGTCCTTCTGCGGTGCCCGGAAAAAGTACTTCGTGGCGCGTTCGCTCTGGTGTAAGTCCGCTGCGAATTTCTTGAACTCATTGCGTTCCTTGATTGAAGCTCGGTACGCTTTGAGATCTTCTTTTGCTTGGTCTAACGCTGTCTTGTTTTCCTCCGTAGGCGCGACGTTGAAGAGGTCAGTAGCGTCGTTTGCCGCTTCCACCTTCGCAGCCATTGCTCTCGCGTCAGCATTCCGAAGCTCTAACCATTTCCGTCGCAGGTAGATACAGTCGACACGCTTGTGCTCATCCAGAAGGCAGCCAGGGTTCGCACCCGGGAAGATCTTGATGCGGTCGGCGAGAGCTTCTGCCGATGCAATCAGATGTTTCTGGACGTCGGAGTTGCGAAGAAGCCAAGTCGGGCAACGCCAGGGGGCGCGTTTCATCTGAGGTAAGAACTTGGCCTGAAGCCTGAATTCCACCGGGATGTGATCTTCATGATGCCACTTGCGGTCCCGTACGTGATGAACGGTTGCCAGATGGTCCTGTAGCAGGTCCACCGTGAGGAAGCAGTAGTCGATCCGATTTGTTCGCGTCGGCCCGGTGAAGTCACGGACGTCCGGGTTCACGTAGCGCCAGGCATCCATCAGCCCTAGCGCGTCCATCCAATCACAAAGTTCCGCCCGGCCGGGGCGATGCTGGTTAAGGGACGGTGAAGCTTGGTCCAGGTTGTCATTGAGCGTGACATTAAAGTCGCCCAGTACGATGTGCGTCACGCCGCTGTCGCCATCTCCGTCGTCAACAGAGCCGCCGTCGTCGTCGAAGTCAACAGGTAACGCACGAAAGAATTCGCCACGTGCTCGGGGATCATCAGGTGCGTACACCACATGTATGTAGACCCGCTTGTCACCGAGGGTGGTTTTGAGTAGTAAATAACGGTTGCAGAGCTGAGGTTTGGATACGCGAGCCGTGAGGTCCTCTACATCCCCGAAAGGGGACGCGGAGGACATCACAAGGCCCACACCACGTATTTCGTTGAACACGCCGGACGTAGTGTGGGACCAGAAGCTGCGCGCCCCAGAGTCAGCCGTGCGGATGTGATGGTCGTTGGTCTGCATGGAGTCTTCTTGGTTGAACTTCGTCTCTTGGAACGCCACCAACTGATGCGTCGAGAGAAGTCGCTCGTACATGCTGAGATTGGTTGCATTCATCCCATTCATGTTAAGCGAGACTCCGTTAAAAGCCCAGACTTCCTTAGAGGCGAGGGTGGACCAAACGAGAAGGTCCGGCCTCAGCCGCCGAAGGAATGTCAACCGACTTTAGATGCTGCAACGCCGCCGCCACCATCGTCGGAGTGCGTCGGTCGTCCATGAACAGTGTACAGACATCACTGCGCGCGACGTACATCAGGGTAAGGTCACTCCAGAGCAGGAATGGTGCATGCCGGAGCCGTTTTGGAGCGGAACGGTCTGGGAGCACTGCTTGAACCTTGATGGGGTCGATGTAGATACCGGGCGCAAAGACCATCAGGAACAAGTCGCATAGGGCGCTGTGAAACGCCGCATCCTGGTGCGGTTGCCCCGGGAACATTCGCTCGAAGAAAGCGGCGGCATCAACAGAGTCGACAGAATCGTAGCGACCACGGAGGCGATCCAGGTACGCACCGGACTCATCTTCCTGGGTCGGCTCTGCACAGATGGTGCGGTAGACCGCGTGCGCCTTGACCAGCTGGTGTTGGTGGTCGGCCGGGAGGCAGAAGATCCGGCGGAAGTACGCGGGTTGCGCTTGGATAGCGGCGAGCACATCTTCGTGCGTCTGGTACGTAAGCACGTCGCGTTCAAGAAATTCGTCGATCGCTAGTTGAAGTTCCTCCGCAGATACCCGTTCCACCTTCAGATCCATCTGGCGGACACTCTTGAGGGTGCGAGTGAATTCCTCATCCGGAAGGAGGGCAGAGTCGGCGGTAAAACCAGAAACAGGCGTCGTCATCCCGTCATCTTCAACAAGTTCGGCTTCCAAGTCTGCATCTGGCGGAAGCGACTCGTCAAAGCCTTCATCGGCCAGGACTCGGTACGTGTTGGGCGTAACGGGGATCGAATAGACCAGCGCATGGGGGTCCGAGGAGTCTTCAGAGAGCTCACACGGCATGGCGCCGGGTGGCTCGATGAACTTCCCACCGCCACGATTCACGATACCGTATTGCGAATGTTGAACCAGCTTCCACTCGGGGTCCGACCGGGCGTTGACCGATCCTAGGATCACTCGGTGGATTTGCGACTCCGCGGCCTGAGAGCGGGGGCGGCCGGATGACGTACGAGACGGGACATCCGAAGAATCCAGCGCTGATGAGACAGCTGAAGAATCCAGTGACGACGAAGAGACAGTCGGGTAGGTCTGCGACGACGACGCACCGGAGGGATCCAGTGGTGGCGAGACACGCGAGGAATCAAGCGGTGGCGCAGCCGCCTCGTCAGAACCGCGCATACTGGCATCAGACACTGCCGAAGCCTTGCGAGGTGATTGGCGAAGCGATGGGGGTTTCACACGGTTGAGGCGGAAGAGCCGGTGCTGTACAAAGCAGGGTTTCTCCCCATCCGTGAAGTAGATCTCCCGGAGCGGTTCACCGTTGGGCTCAAAGAGCGCGTCCGGGCATTGGACAGCGTTGAAATACACCGTGCGTGCGCGGGAAATCAGCTGGCCAACGCCAAGAGACGGCGTAATCAGGATAGGACGAGCACCCCGGGCGACGAACCAGTCGTAGATCGCGAGGTCCGTAGTATCAGCCGGTAGACGCCTCAAGTCCACGTAGTACAGCTTGTCGTAGCTGGAGTAGCGTCGGATCGCAACAGATTGGCCACAGATCGTCAGCTCGACCCCTCCAAGGCGTTGAAGTACTTGGTCGGAGGTGCAGACGAAGGAGATGCCGTTGCGCGGGGAGGTGTTGAAATCCCGAAGATGGGGCTTGGCATCCCGCCACACCTGCGGTTGGCTATCCGAGTCCAGCGACGCGAGCACCTCACGTAGGGTGTGCTCGGCAGCGACGCGGCCAGCTGGGATCCACATCTGCGTGCATTGCGTCTGCTCGACAGGGGTGGGAAGGGGCGCAAGCGCTGCAAATCGGCGGTCGACGTCGGTAGAGGACGCATCACAGAGCCGGTTCAGACTGGCTCGAAACAAGGAGTCGTCAGGCATCAAGCGCGGGGGTGGCGGCTTGCGCCGGTCACCGGGGCGCGATGGGGCCGGTCGCGGGGGCGTGCGGTCGTGGGGCGGAGCGGGCATGGTGCTCCGCGCGGACGAAGTGAACGGGTCGCTTGGCTGCGGCCTTGCGGGTGGTGGAGGCTCAACTACCTGGTATGCCCAATCTACTCCACGTAGATGAAGGCTTTGCAGCGGGCTACGTCTAGAACGTCTTAGCGTTCCGTTTGGCAACCCACACTACACTGTATTTGAGGCAACCCCAGTCAAGACCTTGCGGCAAAGACTTAGCGCACGAGCTCTTGTCGTCCAGCAGGGATGAGCCCACAGAAAACTGTAGGCGCCTAACTGTCTGGGCAACGCAAGCAGCGGTAGCAAGGCGTGAGCAGCAGCAACAACCGAACACGGGTACGGCGGCGACGGCGACGGAGACTGGAGGTAGATGACAGTACTCCGCGAAGAGGACTGGCAGCGACGACGGCAGTGGAGGGCGTGACAGCGGTGACAGCACTCTGCGAAGAGGAACTGACAGCAGCGGTGACGGCGAGTAGCGAGGCAGCGGCGACAGCACTCCGTGAAGAGGGACTGGCGGCAGCGGCGACGGGGAGCTTGGGCAACGGACGACAGCACTCCGTGAAGAGGTCTGACGGCGGCGGCGGCGGCGGTGTCTGCGCGAACGAAGACGGGGCGAGGTCGAGATCGATGTGAGCTCGACAGGGTAAAATCCGGAATGGGGAGTTTGGCTGGGGCGGCACATCTGTTAAATGATAACACAGGTGTCCTAAGGTGAGCTCAATGAGAACAGAAATCTCATGTAGAACAAAAGGGTAAAAGCTCACTTGATTTTGATTTTCAGTATGAATACAAACCGTGAAAGCGTGGCCTATCGATCCTTTAGTTCTTTAGAATTTTAAGCTAGAGGTGTCAGAAAAGTTACCACAGGGATAACTGGCTTGTGGCAGCCAAGCGTCCATAGCGACGTTGCTTTTTGATTCTTCGATGTCGGCTCTTCCTATCATTGCGAAGTAGAACTCGCCAATTGTTGGATTGTTCACCCACTAATAGGGAACGTGAGCTGGGTTTAGACCGTCGTGAGACAGGTTAGTTTTACCCTACTGATGAGTTCGTTGTCTAAACAGTAATCCAACCCAGTACGAGAGGAACCGTTGGTTCAGATAATTGGTAACTGCGGTTAGCTGAAAAGCTAGTGCCGCCAAGCTACCATCTGTAGGATTATGGCTGAACGCCTCTAAGTCAGAATCCATGCTGGAATAGACGATAATCACCTTTCCCGATGTGCCGCGAATAGCGATAGGTGTCTTCTGGGCACCCAACATCATACAATTGCAACGCACTCCGCTGCCTGTCAAGTGCTGGCGGTGGAGAGTAGGCTGACTTGTAATTTCAAATATTGGGAAAGATAAATCCTTTGTAGACGACTTAACTACAGAACGGGGTGTTGTAAGCATGAGAGTAGTCTTGTACTACGATCTGCTGAGATTTAGCCCTTGTTCTATTGATTTGTTCAGAAATGAACATTTCTCCCCCCCCTCCAACCGCAAAAACATATAAACCAAACAGCCGACCGTACAGGCTGACAAAACTAAAGTGATTTACTTTCGCTAATGGGGCGGCGAAAGGAGCCAAGTCGGTAGTAGATCGGCATGGCGGGCTGCCTAACTCTGTTAACCTCTTTTCCTCACCAAGTTCTTTGGTCGACCAAAGTCTTAGGCGGGAAGTACTTTGCGCGAAAACCGCAAAGTGCCAGCGGCGTCGGGGGGTCTTCGGCTAAGTCCGGGGGGCCTTTGGCGTGCTGAGAGTGTAGCAGAAACGGGTCATAAGTAGCTAGCGTAGGCGTAGAAGACGTAGAAATAGACTAGGATAAAGTATGGTAAATGAAGCAAAAGACTTTGCGAAAAATCGCTAAGTGTTGGCGCTGTTTTAATTGTATGGGGTTTTGCGTGGTTTTGTATGGGACTAACATTAGGCAGGAAGCGCGAGGAAGCGCCGCGAATATGGAGAAGGTGACGGCGAGGTGACGGCGAGGAAGCGCTGGATATGGAGGTGAAGATGGAGGAAGGTGATGAGCGTGGATGGAGGAAGGTGATGGGGGTGAAGATGGAGGTGATGGCGGAAGGTGGCGCTGGATATGGCGATGAACATGCATCACTACGGTGTACATGCGCGAATATGGCGATTCATGTCGCATACGCCGTCACCACGCGTGTGTGGAAGGTATATGGACACCTTGGTGTGCGTGCATTAGCGTGTGTGTGCGTGTGCGTGAATATGGAGCGCGGGGCTATCTGCACGGCAAGGTGTTGGGTGTGTATGTGTGTACCCATGATGTGGCATAGTGCATGTAGTATTGTAGGTCACAGGGTACCCTAAACTGTCCAAAATGGCGGTGAATGCTGGCCACACGTTTGGTCTGTGTGTGCCACACACCTCCCTCAATCCCCCCTCGTGTGGCGCACATTGGGTGGTGTAGCGTACCTCTGTTCGAAATGGGTACACAAAATGTAGCCATCCACGCACCCAGCCAGCCCCGACTTTGGGGGGTTGCCAGGGACGTTTAGCCCGTCTGTGTCCACCTGTGTCCACCTGGGGGTGTCCACATATACCCCTTAAGTGTGTGTGAGTGTCGGGTATGAATAGCGGTGCCACACATGAGTTGGTGTAGACGGCCATCTTAGGCTGAAAGCACCGTATCCCGTCTGCTCTGCGAAGTTAAGCATTCCGCAATTTGCCAGCTACCCCCCAAGTGGACCGAGACGAACCCAAGTTCGCTCCCCCACTTTTTCCAGCTAGCCGCCCCCGCTCCGCCTCCGACCCCGGACTGCCGAGCCCCCCCCTGCCCGAAGCCCCCGATCGCTCGAAACCACGCAGACAGTTAGGCGCCTACGGTTTTTACTGTGGGCTCATCCCTGCTGCGTGACTAGAGTCTGTGCGCTAAGTCCTTACTCCTCGGAGTTTGACTGGGTTTGCCTCAACTACTTGTGTAGTGCGATTTGGAACTCGCGAGGGTACCATCGAAAGTGCCTCCAGAACGCTAGGCCGGTCTAGGAGGTGGTCGCCGAAAAGCCTTGTCCTTCTTAGTAAAGCGGGTCTGGCGCGCGCTCGTAGGCTGCACTTACACTTGGCTCGGGTATTGAGGTACCTTTCGGCCGGTGTTTGCTTAGGTGTCTTCGGGACACTAGAGACGTAGCATCCGCTTCCCCGTTCCCCTCCAGAGCTTCGAGCTTCCCCGCCGCACGACCGCCGGTACCCCCCATCCCGACTGCGTTCCCGACCCCACTGGCTTTCGTCCCGCTCCAACTGGCTCCTCCTCGCGACTGGATTTTTCCCCATCCCATGGGAGCCATGACCGGACCCCGCCGGGATGCCAAATGGCGCCAATCCTGGCAGAACGCCGCTCCACGAGCAGAATTTTCCCGGCCCACCGATGCCATGTTTGCAAAAGCAGAAGCTGCCATGATGGACCCGGATCGCGACGAACGCGACAAACGGTGCGCCGCCCTCGCGGGCGTGCCCCAGCAAGTCTCGGCCGATTTGTGCTTTTCCATGTGGATTCCAGCACGCGACCTGACCGTCTCTTTCTCGGATACCGAGATTATGACCTCGCTCGGCTCGACGCCATGTGGTCGAAGAGCCTGGAGCACCTGCGCGACTTCAAGGCGATTCCCCGGGCGGGGATCAGCTTTGTCTGTACGGACCGCGAGGTCTGTACTAAACTGGGCGGTGAGGCTGTGACCATTTGTGGGTGCAAATTCACTGTCCAGGCGTACTCGAAGTACTCCCACTGGTACTACGTGGACCTGCAGCGCCTCCCCGACGACGTCTCCGACGGGACGATCTACGACTGGTTCGCTGGCCAAGGCACTCCTCCGGTGTTTATCACGCCGGCCCACATCGTGGGTGGACTCCGGTCCAGGAGCCGCCGGGTGTATTTCGCCCAAAAAACCGCCCCGGCTTCAGTGATGATCGACAAACGCACCCCGCTCCGCCAGATCCAGTTCCTGGGTCAAGGCTACTCGGTGGTGCACCACCGCCGCCGAGAGTACAACCGTGTGATTCCGCCCTTTATTAAGGAGCTGCGCGCCAAGCATCGGAAGCCCGCTGAGCCTCAGCCGGACCCCCCGAGCCCCGACGCCGACGACACCGCAAGTACGCCTCCGGCTTTTGATGACCAGAGCGACACGAGTGAAAATGCCGCCATGGCTGACGCGTCTGACTCGGATTTTGAGCCACATAGTGGGGATGAGTCTGAGTCGGATTCCAGCCAGAGCGGTTCGATGGATGGGATTGAGGTGGCCATTGAGGTCCGCCGCAAGGCCATCTGGCCCTCCGGGAACCCCCCCCCCAAGTTCCCGGTTGCCCCCACCAAGTCCTCTGACTTCGCCCCCGATCGAGTACTGCGGGCTAAGCGCCTCATCTTTGGGGAGGCAGCTAACCCCGCGAAGGAATGGCGCAGTCTTCCTCCCTCCCAAAAGGATTATCCAGTGGTCTCTACTGTCAACTCGTATGAGTGGCTGGCCACTGGGGAGGGTGGTAGCATCCCCCCGGACCAGGATATTATTCTCTGGGACCGGTCTCAGACCCCCGCCTCCTCTGTGGGGTCATATGTAGCGAAGGACCTTACTGCAGAAACCGCCCACAACTCCGTAGTGTACCAAGGCTCGGTAGAGGAACTTTCCCTCAAAAACCTCTGTTTGGTTATCAAGGAAGTTTTGGGCTCCTTTGAATCGAACCCGGACCCCGACACGGCAATCTCGTCTGTCCAAGCGCAACCCAGTCTGCACCGAGTTCTGCTCGACTCAAAAGCTCCTGGGAACTTTCTCGCTCTACGGGCCAAGGCATTTGGACACGCGGTCCTGCGTGAACTTGCAACCCGCCCGTTCGAGCCGGAAGGTGACACCACGGTCTATGGCCGGCTGTCGAGCCAGCTTCCAGACCTGGTAACAACTGACCTCCAAGAAGCGCTGGGCCTCTTCTACCCGGACGAAGCCCAGTTTTGGCTCAAGGTCAAGTTGGCTGAGTTCGATCTGGCACTGCAGATTATTGCACCCAGCATCTACCTCGACCCGTTTAAAATGGGTGCGTTTTTGGGTAAGGCAGCATCGGCACTGCCCCACCCTCTGTGGCTCCTGTGGGATGATTCAACCCTGGCCTCTATCATCATGTCGCCTTTACTGGACCGCATCTTGACTGGGCCTCTCCCCGCCGACCTTCGCGAAACCATTGAGTACCTACGCAACCAGGCCACCTCGGTGCCACCTTCCTCTGTTCCCACTCACCTCTAATGTGCAGTGGGCCCTTCGGGGGTACTCTCTCAACGCGAATGGTTTTAATAACGTCTCTCAACGCACCCTGAATTTTTTTTCGAACAATTTCCACATTGTGGGGGTCCAAGAAACCAAGTTCACGGGTCTAAAAAGCTTCAAACGAGCTAAACATCTCTGGAAGAAAGCTTCGCAGCTTAATTCCAGCTTCTGGTCACAAGATAACATGACCGCTTATACGGGGCAGGCTGGAGTGGGTTTATTACTCACACCGGCCTGTCCCGTTCAAGGCCTTCAGGACGTCACGCACCGATTTACAAGCTCGACGAATATTTTGTCTCGCTATTTATTGGTGCGTGGTACGGTGGACTCGGTTACTACCTACATTCATGTGGTATATGCCCCAGTCCAACCCAGCCAACGGGCACAATTTTTCACCGACCTCCCTCATACTTTTGAGGATGACTCGAATCATATTGTCTTGGGCGACTTCAACACTGTACTGTCAAGTCAGCTAGATCAAGCCAGACAAGAGGATCGGAACCGCGTTCAAGGGCGGAACGAACTATTGAGGTGGATGAACGACTTGCATCTGGTCGATGCTTGGCGGCTTCAACACCCCGATTTACAAGAATTTACCAGTCCGAACAGCAGCGCTCGGATTGATCTTCTCTTGGTGAGCTCCCGGCTATTCCACTCGGTATTCCAAGACGTTCATCACGACTTCAAGCAGCTAAGCGGCATAGGGGACCACGTTGGGCTTCGATTTCGGCTGGGCTCGACCTGCTTCAAGCCGTCTGGCCGTGCTCCCTGGAAATGCCCCGCCTGGGTTATTAAACTACCTGAGGCGCAAGAATTTCTGAAGCAATCGCTGCATGAACTCGCTGAGTCATTCCGGGCGCCTAGTTGGGACGACTACAACCCTGGTTGTCTCCTGGATGAACACAAGCGGAGGGACTCCATTTTTCTACGAGAGCTTTTCACCGACAAAAAGAACGCGCGCCAACGTGAGATTGAGAACCTCCATTTGAAGGTGAATGAGCTTCAGCACCACCAAGCTCACCACTCGGAGGACGATTTCTCTGAGCCACTGGCAACTGCGAGGAATGAGCTCAAGGCGAAATTGGATGAACAAGCCCATTTTGCGTCGCAGCAGAAGTTTGACTCGGA